TTGCTGCATGGTCTTGGTGATGAAGCACAACAGAAAGACCATAATATTTTTGAATGTGAAAACAGTGATGGCTCTCTCAGAAAATTGAGTTTGACAAAAAAAGATTGCCTGCAGCTACTAAGGTCACTTACCCTTTGGGAAATTCCAGACTTTGGGGGACATATTGAAAAAATAAGAGATTTTTGCTTGGAAAATGCTTGTCTGCTCTTCTGTACTGCATCAGGCTCTACGACATTGCATGGTGCAGGAGAATTTGATTTGTTGGTTATTGATGAAGCTGCTCAGCTGAAAGAATGTGAGTCGACAATTCCCTTGCAACTTCCAGGCCTCCGCCATGCTATTCTCATTGGAGATGAGCTTCAGCTGCCTGCAATGGTCCACAGCAAGGTTTTAAGTTTAATGATCTTTTGTTTTCATTTTATTTATGGAAACTACGTAGGGGTTTCTTTTTTGCTTTATCAGCATAGTAACATAGTTTGTTCAACAGATTGCTGAGAAGGCTGAATTTGGTAGAAGTTTGTTTGAAAGGCTTGTCTTACTGGGACAAAAGAAACACTTACTAAATATCCAATATCGGATGCATCCATCTATAAGCTTATTTCCAAATAGAGAATTCTATAATAATAAGATTGTGGATGCCCCAACAGTGAAAGATAGAAGCTACGTGAAGCACTTCCTTGGAGGAAACATGTATGGTCCTTACTCTTTTATCAATGTAACCTATGGAAAGGAGCAATTTGACAATGGACATAGCCCAAAGAATATGGTTGAAGTTGCTGTTGTGTGTGAGATTGTTGCAAACCTTTTCAAAGGTATAAAATTATAGAGTCTTCTATTCTTTTCCTTCGTAACCTTTCCTGCAGGGCTAAGGTCTTATTGTTCCATTACAGAGTTCACCCTCAAGAAACAGAAATTGAGTGTAGGTGTCATCTCACCCTACAATGCTCAAGTTCATGAAATTGAAAAGAAACTTGGAAAGAAATATGCCAGAAGTGTAGATTCTGGCTTCTCCATTAGTGTTCGCTCTGTTGATGGATTTCAAGGGGGCGAGGAGGATGTGATTATCATCTCAACAGTCAGGTCTAATGGGAATGGATCAGTGGGTTTTCTATCGAATCGCCGAAGAGCAAATGTTGCGCTGACCCGTGCAAGGCATTGCTGAAACTAAAATGAGATTTCTTTTTCCTGATTATCTTTCCTAGTTTTGCATATTTTTTGAATTTGATGGTTGTTTTCATCTTTTATAGGCATTGCTGCTGGATAGTGGGGAATGAAGCTACACTGCTTAAGAGTGGCTCTATTTGGAAGAAATTGGTCACTGATGCAAAGGAGCGGAAATGTTTCTACAATGCTGATGAAGACAAGAGACTGACTAAGGCAATGACCCCTGCTTCGATCAAGCATGAACAGTCACTGTCAAAATCATTCACATCACTCAGAATCACTGATGAAACATGAGCTTTTTACTTCCACTTTTTAGGTACGCACTGTATTTGAATACTTGATAGTTGATCGTGATGCAGAGATGTGGTAAATATTGAGTAATAAAATGATATAGCTAAGTATATGTGTGTCGTTGAGGTAAGAGGAAGAGTGCAGACTTTATTGATCTGTTTCAACAATTTGATCTTTAATGCAGTTTGCTTTTTATTCCCCTTCTAACTAATTTATAAACATTCAATCTCAGGAAATGTTGAAGCCAAAAATGAAGATTAGTTAAGCTATTGGATGGAAGACAGTATGGTAATTGGCTTAATGGCTTTGGAGGTAATTGAGTCGTTCTACCCTCAAGAACATGATGAGAAGCGTTTTGACATCTTTAGAAGTATATAATCAGTAATGAACCCTTAAATAGAAGAAGATGTACTTTGGATTGGCGTAGTACATGCTTGATTATCGATAGAACTTCTATGCACCCTGTTATGTGTGTGTAATATGGGTTTTGGACGCCCTGAGGCCTACAAATTGAAAATCATAGAATGGGTGTTTGAGAGTGCTGGAGTTTGTATGGAAACACTTGGTGAAGCTGGGATTTGATCTAAAGTCATTTCTTTCTTTCTTTATTAATCCTTATTTTTGTTTGATGGAGCATAGCGTTCATTAATCCCTATTAATTACTAGTATTTATTATTTTGTAAAAAATAGACATCATTCATGGCTAAAGGAAAAGAAAATCTCATTAGCACCATGAAATATTGTAGTTACAATGTCGAATTAACTGCATTTAATCCAAAGATTGGACATGCTCTTGGACATTTTTCTAACTGACAACAACAATGGTATTTGCCTCCCACACACTAATGTTCGCCCTCCAACTGTCAGGAGTAACTTGAGCAAACCAACCTAATTGCATAACTATGATAAGTTAATCCACAATTTCACAACATTAAACTTGCATGCAAACCAGTCGAATCTTATGTGATGATCATAAAGCCGAGATGAACTTCTGTATCCTTCCCTGTGCCCGCTCTTTCTCTTCTGGTCCATCTAGGTCACCAATGTTGTCATGATATTCCTGCATTAGAAGAGCAGTGTTACAAGATAACCAATAAAAACTTATTTCAATAATGCTTGAACAATGCTGTTGCAAACACGCTAATGAATTAAAATATGATCTCTCTCCCCAACAGTAATAACCTACTCAGTTTTCAATTTAGGAAAATTCATTATTCAGGAATAACCATGATCTCACCCTTGTTGATGTGTTCATGATATTCATGCTACTGAATTTCATGCAAGCCGTCAGGTAGTTGGAGTATTTTACTGCACTTTAGACATATTGTAAAAGTTTTGTTCTGAAATTTTACCCATAACAGTCTACCAGAATAGTCCCAAAAGACAAGTATTTGTAAATGATAAGAAATTATTAATGGGGCCTTATGCATTATTTTAACAGGCTAATATTTCAGCCTATACCAGTCTCACTAGATGCACCAGTGCACCACATAAAATTCCATCACTTGCAACAGAAAAAGGACAAGCACTTGAGGACGCATGTGGATGCAATTATAATGAATGTACCTAGTTACCTACAATTCAGAAATCTAGAAGTATTTAGCAAATCTATGAACTTATTAAAGGCTCCCTGAGCAATTTTTACAGTTTAATGGAATGTTAGACGTTTCCATAACCAAAAACCATATGAAAAGAATGAAGTCCTAAACAACTTACCTGAAGAATATCCTTGACGTCTTTCCTACTAAGCTTTTGTTGCTTGAGTAATAAATCAACTCGAGCTCTCATTTGTGGGTGCCTGCAGAAATTTTTTACAGACTGAATTGAAAATTAATGCAACAAATCCAGCAATCAAGCACTAGAATTTGATGTCCACAAAGGGAATGTCTCAACAGTTCAAGATCAAACTTTAGAACAGGTAGAAAAGGGGTTGGAAAGGGGGTCAACCATTTTGTATAGCCTCTGATCAGATGTACCAAAGAGGAGAGAAAAAAAAAACAAAAGAAAAAAAAAAGAAAGGAGCAGCAGAAATAATAAATATGAGCAAAATGAGGTGCAAGAGCTTACTCAGAGCACCAAAGATGACCCAATAAAACTGCAATCAACTGCAGGGTGAAACAACAAAGGATAAAAACCCATAATTATAGATGCTGAAAGAACAAAGTAATGGAGGAAGGGGATCAGACAACTTCAACGACAGCAGTAAATTACAATAGTTCATTTTGCAAGACCACCACATTAGTCATGGAATCTTAATCCAACATAGCACACCATTAATGAAGCAGCCAAGGCAACTCAATGATTTATCAGCATAAATTGAAATATTCCAACTAAGCACATATGTTACATTGATACTACAGTTGAATTTCATAATAAAACCTAAAATGAATTATGATCAAAGGATAGAAAACTCTTACAAGCCATCACTAGTCTAATAATATGAACATGGCACACAAATAGGAAGTAGAATACATAGGGTAGAACTAGAAAAAAATTCAGTGGCCATTAATTGAGGACATGTTGACGCAGGTAGGTTTGTCTCAACAAAGAATGTTAATAGAGGACAAATTAAGAAGACTGCTTAGATTGTGAGGGAAGGAGAACAGTTGTTTAACGTAGCATACTTGTTAAATGCAACAGAACTAATGATAAATGTAAAAAATTTATTCAGTTTTCATTACAAAATATCTGCAAACTTGAACAACCAAAACAGACCTGAAGAGTGTAAAGTCCAGATTCGAGCTTCCTATTGTACCTTTCCTCTTCATCCATCTGAAAAATGGAAAGCATACCATCAAAAAGGTTCTTTGGAAGTAAATATAGACTGGAAAATGAAGACAAGTAGATTACCTCAAAATCATCGAGTTCAAGTTGGTCCATCCTTCGAGACTCTGCTTTAACTCTATCAGAATATCTGGATAAAGATCAACATCAGTCAGATGAAAATAAGCTAACAAGATTCTAAAATTAGTGGCTATTAAAAAAAAATTTTACAGCTCTCTTGGTAGCAGAAGCCAGAAAGAACCATAATAATATAAGAAAGAACCCCACATGAATGAATACAAGAGGGAAAAAAATTGGGGGTGATTGATTGACTCTGCAAATAAATGAAATCTAAGACCCTGACAACTGATGTTGTGATTATGAAGCTAAAAAAGAAACAATTAAGTTAAGTCATTACCTCATGTACAGTTCCATAAGGCGGTCTATCTTCTCACATTCATTCTCCACAAACTTACTTAACAACCTTTCCCTTCTAGAACCCCTTAAAATTCCACCTGGAAAGGAGACAATAATCATGAAAATTTGTGGACAGCTAATATATCATACATGTGTACAAGCTTTAGCATCAGATTAACAAGCAACACATTAAAATTAGGGTGCACTGTTTTACAATCCAGACTGTAAAACACTTTTTCGATAAAATTAAAGTAAAATAACTTTTTCCTAATATAACCAGGCGCTACTCAGAATCAATTAGAAAACAAGTATAAAATGGACAGTTATTGTTTGGATTGCATCTAAAACAACAATAACAATGTTCAGAAAACAAGATTTCTGGGAATTTTTTATAAGTTTCATGTTTAAACTTCCTGATGAGGGACATAAGATCTATGCTTTTCTTAAATGTATAGCTAAAAGTTCATCCCAAACCAAAGCTGCAAGCACAAGCTGGATATTATTGTTACCTCTAATCATATGTTAAAGCACTTTAATATAAAACTCTAAAAAAAATTTTACTTGCCTGCTTACCAAATAATGATGCAATTAAAGATATAAGGCGTTCTTCCAACTCCTCTTGGTACCGTTCTCTCTTGTTCTTCTTGTTCACCGGAATCTAAATAACAGACAAGGAACAAAAATTATAGGATTAAACACTAAAAATTGTCCCTTTCATATATCGTGTAAATGACGTAATTCAATGCCAATAACTGATTTATAAACAAAAGCATTTCAACCTGAATGCCTAACATATTCATTTGCAACATAGTCATCATCTATTAAGAATAACAGCAAAATTTGTTCTAGATGCTCTGTAGCATTATACACTAAGAAATGATAACAAAGACACAAATAAATAAATTTTTTTAATACAGATTCTCCAAGTCATGGCCAAGCTATAGCATTTTGAATGAGTGTAACTAAATAAGATAGGGAAAGGGAAACAAACACTTGCCTTACCCATGAAAGCAGCGAAAGCAGTCTTCAACCCCAAGACATCCACAAACCGCTCACATGCAGGCGGATACTTGGTCATGGCAAAATCAAGCGCCCTTATTGCAGAACCATAAGCTGATTTCTTCTGCTTCATAATTATAATCATCAACTCAACCCCCTCAGCCTTTACAAACCTCTCCTTGTTCTCCAATGGCATCAGCAGACAGCACAAACAATCAAACAGATTCTCAAGCATCTCCTCCTCATCCGCGCTCTTGGGGTCCTTGGATTTATACATGGCCACCGCCTGCAACACCACATCCACCCCATTCATTTGCCCCAACCTCTTCTGGTTTGCCATACTGTTCTGCAACAAAATGGCCAGAATCTCCGATGCATACTGCTTGTTACCATCAAACTCCCTGATTTTTATCTTCCCCAATAACCATCTCAACAACTTGGTCCTTTCACAAACCAATTCCGCCACAGCTGGCTTCACCTCGATCAAATTCTCAATAGTAGCTAGTGTAGTATAAACTGCAGCCATCTCATCTGGGTCAGTTTCAGACAAACGCTGCAAATTCTGCACCAACAACTCCAAAACATTGTTTTCAATGAGTGACTCGACCAAAATGCTGGCTGGCTCATCGTTATCATCCAAAACATCCTCGTCCGTTAGGTCCTGAAGCAACTGCACGACGTCGATGGCGATGTCAGTGTTCTCATGAGACAAAAGATTGAGTATAGAAAGGATGGCGTTGAGATTGACAAGGTCGGGGTATAGCTCGGGGGCTCCAGCGAGGATCTTGAGCTTCTGGAGGTCGTCGTGGAGGTCTACCTCGGAGTCCGCAAAGCGTTCCGGCTGGTTTGGGTACTTGAGGCGGGCCTCGATGTTCTCTTTGAGTCGACGCTCGAAGGAGAGGACTAGTTTTTTGAGGGTGCGAATGTCCACCACATCGACGGTGCTCTGAGATTTCTCGACGGCTTCCAGGAGAGAAAGGTCGATGTCGCCGTCGACTGCCGCGGCGCTGTCCCGCTTGCGTTTCTGAGGGTTCACGACTTCCATGGTGTTCGGAGCAGAGATTGGGCCTCCAGCTCCAGCCTTCAGTAGGTTTATCCAGATTCTGGATTAATAGCTTAAGTTGGGCCTAGTGGGCCCAAAAGAATTATTCTGGCTTAGTAAGACAGTAATAGACCAGCCCAAAACAATTGAAACAGCAGCTCAAGTTGCTCAACCCAAGTCGTTTTTTTTATGCAAATGATGGTTGGGCCATCAAATTTGGTATGGTGGCTTGTGTTGGGTCGAGTGGGCCCAAAAAAATTATTCTAGCTTAGTAAGGCTTGTAATTATATATATATATATACATATATATGTTACTTGTAAGTACTTTATTTGTTTGGATAAATATCTTAGCCAAACTGTCGAAAAAT